GGCTATCTCGTTAACAAGGTACCGTGTTGTTACTGCGATTGAGTGGAACTAAGTGATGACATTGTTCGACATCCCCTACACGTACAGTGGCAATTCCGAATATCGCTACCTAAACTTCGAATAGTAATAACATGCTTCATGTTCCTCCGTTTCCAAAGGGTTGCACTCAGAATACGCCTTTACATGCGCCATATTGTACACGTACGGTTCTGTAGTGGCGTACCCCGAAAGGCAAAAAATTTGCCACACAGAACTATGAGATGACATGTTCACATTTAAAACTGGTTGTCGAAGTTCACTTAAGCAGTTTAGGCAAACCTGATGCACATGATAGGCACTGCTATTGTTGTTATCACTGTGCCTGTAAGCTCATCAGGTGCATTAATATACCTGAAAAATGTGAAATTCAGACATAACTTTTGTTTGTGAGCGAGAAACGACGCCAATTTGTCATTCAAATGAGGCACAATGAGCCAACCCTACGTTCAAATTCTAGTCCACAGTCATCAGCCGTTCACATCTGTTCCTTATTGGGGGTTTCATCTTTACAGTTACCCGTTTTCTGTGGTATTTTTGTCTTAGCTCACGTGTTCTCGTTAAGATACAATATGTATAATTACCAATGGTAAATGTATTTAGGCAACCGTTTTTGTTATGTAGGAAAGGAGCTGATCTTCTCCGATTGCTATATGTAGGTAGTTTTGCGAGTACAGTCAGTTGTACAAATTTCCTCTTTTTAAATTACTAAATGACTTAAATATCTGCTATATTTAACCTTTATACTCGTTTAACTTCCTGCTCTGCGCGTATATGATTATTATTCGGATAGATGAAGCGAGTCGTCAGTTCTGATGAAATCCCGGCGCAATGTTTGGGTGAGACCGGCGCACTCAGCTATAAACCACCTACAGAACAGGATTTAAAGGACACGGCTTCTCTCGAGGAAGCCTTAGCACAGATGAATATCTTTGAAACTTCGGAAGAAATAATGCAGCGTCGCGAAGCCCTTCTCCGCCTTCAAGACATTTCAAACAAATGGATCTACAAGAAGGCTTTGGAACAAAATCTTCCTGACCACATCGCCAGTGCAACAACAGGGAAGATATTTACTTTCGGTTCCTACCGTCTTGGCGTCAATTTCCGAGGCGCCGATATTGACGCCCTTTTTGTCGTTCCACGTTTTATAACTCGGGATGAATTCTTTTCCGAATTCCAAGCCATTCTTACCGAGGAGGAGGCAGTAGAGGAGATTCATGCTGTTGTTGATGCTTTCGTACCTGTACTTAAGCTAAAGTTTATGGGCGTCGAGGTAGGTCACAATAATTCACCCTAACAAAAATTCTAGATCGATCTTCTTTTTGCCCAAGTAGACATGATGTCTGTGCCAGGGAATTTTAGTCTCTCCGAAAACACGGAGACGCTCCTAAGAAACATGGACGAGAGAGACGTGCGAAGTGTTAATGGTGTTCGCGTCACAGAGGACATTCTAAAGTTGGTGTTTGATAAGGATGTGTTTAAAACGGCCCTTAAAGTAAGATCTATTTACTGACTTCTTTCTGCCCAGGTTATACGACTATGGGCGAAGCGTAAACAAATTTACTCTAACGCTCTGGGCTTCCTTGGCGGTGTTAGTTGGGGTATATTAACCTGCCGCATCTGCCAACTCTACCCTTGCGCGGCGCCCTCTACTATTGTATACCTTTTCTTTACAATATTCAGCCAGTGGCCATGGCCGAAGCCCGTCAGACTCCGAGAGTGTGAATACGTTCCCGGTTTAAACCTGCCAGTTTGGGATCCTAGGGTAATTGACGTTTGTATTCAGAACATGATTTGATTTTTTTTGTATGAAATGAATTTTAACTTCTTGCGCCTCTGGCCATAAATAATCTTGTAGATTCCCCTGATTTTCTGTCCGATGCCTTTTATTGATTAATGGGGGCGAAAATATCGACCCCGATACACTTCTACAGTAGCTAAGGGTACATTTATAGTGTTCAATAATCACATAGATCTATATGAACTGTGTTGATCCAGGTTTTGGAATGCCATTCCTTTTTCTTATGATTAGAGATACTGCATATAAGAAAGCCTTAGATCGCATTAAGCAAACTATAAGCCTGGGTCTGTATAACTTTGGTTGTGTTTACATGACTATTTAGGCTGTCCTCGAAGGATAGTTGCGAAGCCACGGGTACCGAAAAGCAAATCTTGATCCTTATTAAGCAACGACGGTACAAATTTCATGAACGTCGAGAAAGGCTGATTGGACAGATAAACAAAGTCTGAGAACTTTTTGGTGGCTAGGGTATTTCGATGGGCAGATAGACGCTTTGGAATAGATGATAAGGAGCCTGCGAATGGCCTTGAATTAGGCAACGATATTCTCGCCTCTATCCATTCGATAGCGTTTTTTTTGCCGAAATATTTGGCAGGAATAGTAATAAAATAGTTCGCTGTTATCCTTTCACAGAAAAAGCCGTGTTCGTCAAAAAATATATTTGCGGCCTTCAGCTACTCGTGCTTGGCTGTCCACTTCTCGGAGTTAACGATTGTTAACAGCGATAGATTTCCTGTTTTGTTAAGGACTACATACAAGGTCCGTTTACACAATAATGACGGAAAACTCGTTAATCTGGCGCTCACCCTAGACTATCTTGTACTTAATACGGCTGTGATCCTGCCTGATCTAGCCGGCCTCGATGATGTCACAGATTATACCTCTCTACACGTGAAGTTAGCGGCAGCGGATCCGGAAAGCCCAACCCATTCTCTTATCTAGTGATGAATATCGAATACCGAAGGTCCAAGAGCCGCTTGACAAACTGTATCAAACCAGGTCACTTCCAGGTGGCCTGTGGCGCCGGATCGAGGGCAGTATAACAAAGCTCGTGAGGCGAACGACGGATAACGTGTCCAAATCACCTCGGTCGTCTTTCTTGGATGGCGTGGACTATTCTCGCGATACTGGCGCAGTGAGTGCAGACTGTCTCATTTGCGATGAAGTCAATGTACTTCCCTCGGAGGATGGTCCTCAGGCTACGCTGATTAAATAGCTCCAGTCGTCGCTCATTTTCCGCGCGCAAAGCGCAGCCCTCAAGTCCGAACCCATTATCGTGGCCATTCAAAATCAATCCCCTTTCGGTTTTCAGAGCATCTGCTGACTCATTTTCCTTCCAAACTGAACACGAAAATGTTGACAAAGTGCAATAGGCACGACGCTTACCAACTTTTCAATACACCCGCGTTTTTCGTGGAGTTTTTAGGAACTGTTTTATCCTCCAGTTTATAACGCATCATAATCGGAATGAACCGTCTAAAAGGAACTATCATAATCACGTACTGCAGGCCATCTGCGTGTCCGTGTCCAAATTTGCATATGCTTTCAAGCTTTACCTTTCCGACGCATGTACTTGGAAATTCTTACTCAGACTATTCTTCCCCGTCAGTGAACCCTAAAAATCCAGAATAATAACGTATTTGAAAGTTTTTGTAATCCAAATGTAACACTGGAAACAATGTTTTTGCCGACTGACGATCGCCTTACTTACGCGAATTTTTCTTTTCCTGTAGCATAATCCACCTGATCAGTACCATCTGATGCCTATTCTTACGCCAAGTTACCCCTCTCAAAATTCAACTTACAATGTTCAACGGAGCAATCGCATTATCATTCAACGTGAAATCATGAATGGTAAGTAGACTAATCTACGCATACATTTTTATTGAATCTGGTTGCAATTCTTGCACGAGAGTATAGGATGACGTATCAATGTTTAGGTTATAGTTAAGTTCTTCGCGGTCTAGCTTACTTGGCTAGTTTTGTGTCACTGCTCACTAAAATTGTACGTATTCGATACCGAATAAAACACAGCAAAGGACAAGGCTGTTATGTCTTTTGCAGTCAAACTCATATTTCTCGCTGAGCAGTAGGAATTCTACTACTCAACTATTTCGGCAGAAACCTTCGGAGGTATCCTTATACGATACACATCCCTCCTCGTTAGAAGCTGACGTTGTTGTGATCGGCCGACAGCCCTATACAATCTCTTAACGCGCTAACCTGCATGCGCTTGCAGTAAATTGCCGTGCGTAGTCGAGCAGCGGGGATGCGTCGCATCTAACCACTTGTTGCCTGCGTTACGAAACTAATGATATAATCTGTACCTATCCAATTTTGCGTTTCAGTTTTATTTCACAATAAACGCTACCGGAGAACTGGCTGAAGTAGGATTCGTATCTTGGCAAAAAACCAGTTGGGATCGAATTTACCGATGTATTCTGCCGTAAAAGATTAAAATCACCCTCAGAAGACATTACACTGCGCCTGGTCTAATCGATACACACTATTTCGTGATGGAACCACTCCCCTCTTTGGCGCCCTCCCAGGTAGGGCCTGGAAAACTAAAATAAACGTTCACGCGACCTGTCAAT